CCCCAACACCGGGAGAGACCCCCCGGGACCGGGAGAGACCCAGAGACCCCCCAACACCGGGAGAGACCCCCCGGGACCGGGAGAGACCCAGAGACCCCCCAACACCGGGAGAGACCCCCCGGGACCGGGAGAGACCCAGAGACCCCCCAACACCGGGAGAGACCCCCCGGGACCGGGAGAGACCCAGAGACCCCCCAACACCGGGAGAGACCCCCCGGGACCGGGAGAGACCCAGAGACCCCCCAACACCGGGAGAGACCCCCCGGGACCGGGAGAGACCCAGAGACCCCCCAACACCGGGAGAGACCCCCCGGGACCGGGAGAGACCCAGAGACCCCCCAACACCGGGAGAGACCCCCCGGGACCGGGAGAGACCCAGAGACCCCCCAACACCGGGAGAGACCCCCCGGGACCGGGAGAGACCCAGAGACCCCCCAACACCGGGAGAGACCCCCCGGGACCGGGAGAGACCCAGAGACCCCCCAACACCGGGAGAGACCCCCCGGGACCGGGAGAGACCCAGAGACCCCCCAACACCGGGAGAGACCCCCCGGGACCGGGAGAGACCCAGAGACCCCCCAACACCGGGAGAGACCCCCCGGGACCGGGAGAGACCCAGAGACCCCCCAACACCGGGAGAGACCCCCCGGGACCGGGAGAGACCCAGAGACCCCCCAACACCGGGAGAGACCCCCCGGGACCGGGAGAGACCCAGAGACCCCCCAACACCGGGAGAGACCCCCCGGGACCGGGAGAGACCCAGAGACCCCCCAACACCGGGAGAGACCCCCCGGGACCGGGAGAGACCCAGAGACCCCCCAACACCGGGAGAGACCCCCCGGGACCGGGAGAGACCCAGAGACCCCCCAACACCGGGAGAGACCCCCCGGGACCGGGAGACGCCGCCCAGAACAACCGGGGGCCCTTTGGTGTCACCGGGAGCCACTTGGCGGCACCAGGAGCTGCTCCCTGGCACAACCGGGGGCCCTTTGGTGTCACCGGGGGCTGGTTGGTGTCACCGGGACCCACTTGGCAGCACCAGGAGCCCTTTGGCAGCACCAGGAGCCACTTGGTGTCACCGGGAGCTGCTCTGTGGCACAACCAGGAGACATTTGGGGTCACCAGGAGCCACTCGGCATCACTGGGAGCTGCTTCTGGCACAACCGGGAGCCATTTGGCGGCACCGGGATCTGGTTGGTGTCACCAGGAGCCACTTGGTGTCACCTGGAACCATTTGGTGTCACTGGGACCCACTTGGCAGCACCAGGAGCTGCTCCCTGGCACAACCAGGAGACATTTTGGGTCACCGGGAATCACTTGGTGTCACCGGGAGCCACTTGGCATCACCGACACCGGGAGAGACCCCCCGGGACCGGGAGAGACCCAGAGACCCCCCAACACCGGGAGAGACCCCCCGGGACCGGGAGAGACCCAGAGACCCCCCAACACCGGGAGAGACCCCCCGGGACCGGGAGAGACCCAGAGACCCCCCAACACCGGGAGAGACCCCCCGGGACCGGGAGAGACCCAGAGACCCCCCAACACCGGGAGAGACCCCCCGGGACCGGGAGAGACCCAGAGACCCCCCAACACCGGGAGAGACCCCCCGGGACCGGGAGAGACCCAGAGACCCCCCAACACCGGGAGAGACCCCCCGGGACCGGGAGAGACCCAGAGACCCCCCAACACCGGGAGAGACCCCCCGGGACCGGGAGAGACCCAGAGACCCCCCAACACCGGGAGAGACCCCCCGGGACCGGGAGAGACCCAGAGACCCCCCAACACCGGGAGAGACCCCCCGGGACCGGGAGAGACCCAGAGACCCCCCAACACCGGGAGAGACCCCCCGGGACCGGGAGAGACCCAGAGACCCCCCAACACCGGGAGAGACCCCCCGGGACCGGGAGAGACCCAGAGACCCCCCAACACCGGGAGAGACCCCCCGGGACCGGGAGAGACCCAGAGACCCCCCAACACCGGGAGAGACCCCCCGGGACCGGGAGAGACCCAGAGACCCCCCAACACCGGGAGAGACCCCCCGGGACCGGGAGAGACCCAGAGACCCCCCAACACCGGGAGAGACCCCCCGGGACCGGGAGAGACCCAGAGACCCCCCAACACCGGGAGAGACCCCCCGGGACCGGGAGAGACCCAGAGACCCCCCAACACCGGGAGAGACCCCCCGGGACCGGGAGAGACCCAGAGACCCCCCAACACCGGGAGAGACCCCCCGGGACCGGGAGAGACCCAGAGACCCCCCAACACCGGGAGAGACCCCCCGGGACCGGGAGAGACCCAGAGACCCCCCAACACCGGGAGAGACCCCCCGGGACCGGGAGAGACCCAGAGACCCCCCAACACCGGGAGAGACCCCCCGGGACCGGGAGAGACCCAGAGACCCCCCAACACCGGGAGAGACCCCCCGGGACCGGGAGAGACCCAGAGACCCCCCAACACCGGGAGAGACCCCCCGGGACCGGGAGAGACCCAGAGACCCCCCAACACCGGGAGAGACCCCCCGGGACCGGGAGAGACCCAGAGACCCCCCAACACCGGGAGAGACCCCCCGGGACCGGGAGAGACCCAGAGACCCCCCAACACCGGGAGAGACCCCCCGGGACCGGGAGAGACCCAGAGACCCCCCAACACCGGGAGAGACCCCCCGGGACCGGGAGAGACCCAGAGACCCCCCAACACCGGGAGAGACCCCCCGGGACCGGGAGAGACCCAGAGACCCCCCAACACCGGGAGAGACCCCCCGGGACCGGGAGAGACCCAGAGACCCCCCAACACCGGGAGAGACCCCCCGGGACCGGGAGAGACCCAGAGACCCCCCAACACCGGGAGAGACCCCCCGGGACCGGGAGAGACCCAGAGACCCCCCAACACCGGGAGAGACCCCCCGGGACCGGGAGAGACCCAGAGACCCCCCAACACCGGGAGAGACCCCCCGGGACCGGGAGAGACCCAGAGACCCCCCAACACCGGGAGAGACCCCCCGGGACCGGGAGAGACCCAGAGACCCCCCAACACCGGGAGAGACCCCCCGGGACCGGGAGAGACCCAGAGACCCCCCAACACCGGGAGAGACCCCCCGGGACCGGGAGAGACCCAGAGACCCCCCAACACCGGGAGAGACCCCCCGGGACCGGGAGAGACCCAGAGACCCCCCAACACCGGGAGAGACCCCCCGGGACCGGGAGAGACCCAGAGACCCCCCAACACCGGGAGAGACCCCCCGGGACCGGGAGAGACCCAGAGACCCCCCAACACCGGGAGAGACCCCCCGGGACCGGGAGAGACCCAGAGACCCCCCAACACCGGGAGAGACCCCCCGGGACCGGGAGAGACCCAGAGACCCCCCAACACCGGGAGAGACCCCCCGGGACCGGGAGAGACCCAGAGACCCCCCAACACCGGGAGAGACCCCCCGGGACCGGGAGAGACCCAGAGACCCCCCAACACCGGGAGAGACCCCCCGGGACCGGGAGAGACCCAGAGACCCCCCAACACCGGGAGAGACCCCCCGGGACCGGGAGAGACCCAGAGACCCCCCAACACCGGGAGAGACCCCCCGGGACCGGGAGAGACCCAGAGACCCCCCAACACCGGGAGAGACCCCCCGGGACCGGGAGAGACCCAGAGACCCCCCAACACCGGGAGAGACCCCCCGGGACCGGGAGAGACCCAGAGACCCCCCAACACCGGGAGAGACCCCCCGGGACCGGGAGAGACCCAGAGACCCCCCAACACCGGGAGAGACCCCCCGGGACCGGGAGACGCCGCCCAGAACAACCGGGGGCCCTTTGGTGTCACCGGGAGCCACTTGGCGGCACCAGGAGCTGCTCCCTGGCACAACCGGGGGCCCTTTGGTGTCACCGGGGGCTGGTTGGTGTCACCGGGACCCACTTGGCAGCACCAGGAGCCCTTTGGCAGCACCAGGAGCCACTTGGTGTCACTGAGAGCTGCTCTGTGGCACAACCAGGAGACATTTGGGGTCACCAGGAGCCACTCGGCATCACTGGGAGCTGCTTCTGGCACAACCGGGAGCCATTTGGCGGCACCGGGATCTGGTTGGTGTCACCAGGAGCCACTTGGTGTCACCTGGAACCATTTGGTGTCACTGGGACCCACTTGGCAGCACCAGGAGCTGCTCCCTGGCACAACCAGGAGACATTTTGGGTCACCGGGAATCACTTGGTGTCACCGGGAGCCACTTGGCATCACCGGGAGCTGTTCCATGGAACAACCAGGAGACATTTGGGGTCACCAGGAGCTGGTTGGTGGCACCAGGAGCCCTTTGGCATCACCAGGAGCTGCTTCTGGTGCAACTGGGAGCCCTTTGGCACAACCAGGAGCCGTTTGGTGTCACCAGGACCCACTTGGCAGCACCAGGACCCACTTGGTGTCACCGGGAGCTGCTCCGTGGCACAACCAGGAGACATTTGGGGTCACCAGGACCCACTTGGCAGCACCAGGAGCTGCTCCCTGGCACAACCAGGAGACATTTGGTGTCACCAGGAGCCACTTGGTGTCACCAGGAGCCCTTTGGCATCACTGGGAGCCACTTGGTGTCACCAGGAGCTGCTCCGTGGAACAACCAGGAGCCACTTGGTGTCACCAGGAACTGTTTGATGACACCAGGACCCACTTGGTGTCACCAGGAGCCACCCGGTGTCACCAGGAGCCCTTTGGCACAACCAGGAGACATTTGGTGTCACCAGGAGCCACTTGGTGTCACCAGGAGCCCTTTGGCATCACTGGGAGCCACTTGGTGTCACCAGGAGCTGCTCCGTGGAACAACCAGGAGCCACTTGGTGTCACCAGGAACTGTTTGATGACACCAGGACCCACTTGGTGTCACCAGGAGCCACCCGGTGTCACCAGGAGCCCTTTGGCACAACCAGGAGCCGTTTGGCATCCCCAGGATCCCTCCGCCAGCCCCGGCACCGTGTGTGTGTGTGTGTGTGTGTGTCCCTTTACCCCCCCCCTTACCTTGACACAATCCACGTAGACGGGGTTCAGCCTGTCCCCCCCCAACCTGACAGGCACCAGGATCACCACGGCCCGACGCCGCCGCCCGGCCTGGGGGGCTCCACCGTCCCCCCGCACCAGCCCCGCCACGTCCCCTTTGTAAACTGCCAAAAAAAACCACCAAGGGGGGGTCACCCCGATGCCAGGACCCCCCCCAAAACCCGTAGTGGGGACCCCAAAACATACCAGTGCAATCCTGGGAGACGTAGACGGAGAGACCGAGGGTCTCCGGGCAGGAATCCACTGCCTTCCTGCCACGGGATGAAGAAAAGGGGGGGGTCACGGGGACAAAGGACACCCCAGGGTGGGTAAAGGGGGTCCTGACCCCCCCAAAAATGAGGGGAACCCCCCTCTCGACCCCCCTCTCACCTCAGGATGTGGGCGGCGATGGAGGGTCCGTACCAATCCCCGGCTTTTTTGCCGGCGCCGCGGCCCAGCTCCACCAGGCGATGGATCCCGAAGGGGGCGCGGGGGTGGTCGGAGAACCAGGCCACGATGCTGCGGTGACACCGCTCCTCCTCATCCTCCTCATCATCCTCTTCCTCCTCCTGGGAGGGGGGAACACGGCACGGGGGTCTCACGGGGTCACGGTGACATCCTGAAGGGTCTTGGGGTCGTTTCAGGGGGTCCCGGGTCCATCCTGAGGCGTCCTGGGTCCATCCTGAAGGG